GTATTATATGTCTTATTTCAAGTCCGGGGCCAAATGTTATGATGATTTTAAAATCGGCAAATTCAACACGGGGGACACATGAATCTGCTCGCAGGTTACACAAATTACTCATCTTTATTTTTTATTCTTATTATTCGCCTCATTAAATTTTAAATAACTCTAGCTTTTATAGTTTATTCAATGCATCAAATTAAACATCAACCTCCAAGGAACCCAGACGTGATAATCTGGTGTTCTATTTCAATTTCTCTAGTTCAATTTCAATCACAACTCAAGTGATTCAAAAGTCTAAAACAAAACTTGAAGTTTTACCTTAAGACAAAGCATGAAAGGTACAATCTTATGGGATGAATTCAATTTCATTTTTTAGTTTAATTCAATTCTTTCGATTTATATTTTTATTAGAGTTGACTAACGATCTATTCATGTTGTAGCCTTTAAAGTGCGCATTCAAAGTATGAAATTTAACTATTTTCTTGTAGATTAATTATCTTATATACTTATATTAATGTCAATACTTTGATTTATTTCTTATATTCTTGCATGCTTAGTTGCTTCCAATTCAATGTTATTTGCTATATATTATTGCATTAATTACATGATCATCATATAGTATATTAATCAACATATGTATTTGAATACTATGACTAATATATAAGATAATATGGACAACTGGTTTAAGAACCCGTTAATAATCTTATTATATTGTTTAATCAAGTGATCAATATTTTAAACAATTTTTCGTGTGCATTAATATTCAATAATCGACTAAACATATTATAGTTTGGAGCGAATTGAATCTTTATTTGTATGTCTTTTCGATGGCAAATAATACATGTCACAATAAGAACAAAGTAGATGCCAATATGGGCATTTGACTTCTTGACTCAATTCCGTACCATAATTCCCAAATTCCTCTTGTGTTTCGAGACCATATGGAGTTAACAATCTCATAGACTGTCAATGGGGTGATAATCTTCATTTATCAAATCATTGTTGCCTTCAGATTTATATCGCGGTTGCCTTTTGACCCTTTCGTTAATGAACCACCAACGATTTTTCTTAAAAACTTGTTGGCGGCTCATTATTTTGTCCCTTGTCCCATTTGATATAATGTCAACAATTGCCATGCACATTCGATTCACACGTGCTAAGGTAGGTCAACTGTTATGGAGCCTACAATACTCCTTAGGAAAAAGAAATACAATCATTGAACATGGGTTAAGGGAAACTAGTGTTCAACTCTAATTCAACTTCACCAACCCACTAGGTATCCGCTCTTTGGCCTATAAAGAGGTCCTGATTCGCAACTTTTTCGGCCAACTCTAGTTATGTATCTTGGTTTTTAGTGTCGAAAGTTGGAATGGCTTAAATGTTAAAAGCCATATAGTAAGGTTTAGGTTTTATTTTGTATGTTGTAAACTCTGATTTTATTAATATCATTTGCTTTTGTCAAAAAAAAAAAAAAAAAAAAAAAAAAAAAAAAAAAAATGGTTACCGAGTCGTTTTCAAATTTTTGATTGTGATAACTTTTTAGGCTTGTTTGTGTAAAATGCTAAATTGAGTAGATTTTGTTTAATATAATATCATCTAGGTGTGTTGTGATGTGGGAGGATTTTGATTAATTTAGGGTCATAATCTTTGTTGGGAAAAATGTACATAAAATACACAATCAAAAGCGGAAACTCATCTGTAGCATTTTCTCTGGACGTTTTTCCAAAGTGAGCCAATTTTGGCAAATATTAACCAAAATGGTTCCGTGGCAAAAGTATTTACCAAACTAAGCTTCCAGGCTAAAACGCTGTCTCGGTCAGCGTTTTATGCCTGGGTTTTTTTTATAAAAAAATCAACCTAAAAACGCTGTCTGGGACAGCGTTTCTGTCGTTTTTTTTAAATTTTTGTAATTGCCTTTTATTTATAAAAATGTTTTTAAAAAACAAAAACAGTTATACCAAAGACGCTGTCCCAGACAGCGCTTTATGTACAAACTTCCTTGTACCTAAAACGCTGTCTCAGACAGCGTCTTATTTTCAACCTAAAACGCTGTCTGGGACATCGTTTCTCTGCTGGTGTGCAAAACAGCAGCAGAATCAGCCTTTTGCCACTGATCTGCCACTTTCTTCTGCCCCCACCCACCACCCCCTGCCATGATTCTTGCCACCACAATCCACCAACAACCCCCACCATCGACCACCATCTGCCACCACTTTTGACCTCCAACAACACTTCAACCAGCTCCACCACCAACCCCAACCATTCAACAACCGTCGATAACCACCCACCACAACCAACAACACTAAAACCACCATGAACAACCACATTAACCACCACGGGCCATCCTTTCTTCCCCATTTTCGACTATGGATTCCAAATGTCTGTTGTTTAACGTACATTAGCCCTGAAGGATCTATTTTGACTGACATAAATCCGATTTGGATAAATAAGCAAACAAAACTTCAAAACACAAACAGATTCATTCAACCAGCATGTCTTATATTGATAATGCAATCGTTATATACAACATTCCAGGAAAAAGGACAAAACAATGATACAATACGTTCGCTACTCATCAATTTGGTGTAACCCTTCCCTAGCCTCACTGTCGTCCCTTCGTCTTGGACGACGCCGAGTGTAATGGTGAATGGTGGTGAATGGGTTCCGGCGCGGGGGGGGGGGGGGAGTGAGCTGGCTGGACGATGCGTCCTCCTGGGTTCTGAAGGGTGCAGAACTGTGGAAGATGTACTCCTCTGCCTCTGTGTGCGACGTAGGATCACCTCCACTGCTACTCTGGCCGGGGTCGAACCGCGAATGGATGGAGTGACCATCATCACCGTCCCGCTGTTGGATGAGATGACCGTGACCATGTCTGCGTAAGGAAGTCGCGGACATATCTCGCATCCGCTGGACCTGGGCTCTGGTGGGTCCGTCTGTAAGGGTGAGGGACAGTGCATCATACATCGCCACCATATCCGCCGCCTGTAGTAATCATCGACCAGTCAAGTACATGATATTTAAAAAAGTTAAAAAATGAGGATGATAAGTATAGTTAAAGGAACTCACATATCCGCTAATGACGTCATGTGCCGGGTGGTAATGGGTGGACGGTGGTGTGTAGCTGGGGTTGATGAAACGGCGTGTGATAAGCCTGTACCACACCATGTACGGATCGTCATGATCCATAACGCCCTACATGGGATAACCCTGAACGACATGACCCAACCGCTGCTCCCATAGCTAAAGATACTGCCAATGCTCCAGTGCCCAGTTTGTCTCCGTCTTTCCCCGACGGTCAATGTCGTGAAGGCGCACGACAGTGTCACAGTTCTGGGGAATAAGCTGCTGCAATCCGAACTGTCGCATGACGCGGTCAGGTAGGTAACTCTCCACAACCTCGAAACAGATCAGGGGGACCCGGGCACGCCACTCTCCCTGATGCTCCAGTAGATGTGCAGGCATGACATCTACCAACTCCGGTACATACGGATCCCATGTGATCTGCAATAACACATCCTAAATAAGTTAGTCCACAATCAGTATACACAGTACCTAAATGATTACAAATGTCTTCAGAGTTTGTACCTGATCCTCAGTGAGTCGATCAAGGGCGTCTCGGTAGTATGGGAGACCCGTCGCCACATGTGCCTGTGTGAGTATGGGGACCATCCACCTGGGGCAACAAATTTGGTAAGTATGTTTACAAAATGAAATCGTATATGGGAAAAAAATGACACATGTTACAAACCTGCAACCGTAAGCCTCATCAGCTGCAGGGCGAGGCGGAGCGATGTACGGCTCATACTGGTCATCCTGGTCCTGTCGCCCCGGACGATGTACAGCAGGCCTACCTGGTCTTCCTACGTGGATGTGCTCCCAAGCCCATAGCTTCAATAGCAAAACACAAAACTATGTTAAATATGACATTACTCATTGCATAATTCGCTTGTGATAATATACGTAGTATACCTGAAGCACAAATAGAGGTCCTCCAATCTCGAGCGCACCACTCCGTGAGGCTCTGCAAAGTTGGTGATACAACACCGCCAAAGAGGCACTACCCCAGTTGTATCCACGGATATGCTCCCAGTCGTGGTCCAACAGCTGTAGGTAAATAAGCTGCAAGTGGCTCCCGCTCTTGTTGCCGAACAACACGCCGGATATGAGGAAGAACAAGTACGCTCGAGCGTATCTCTGTACTGTGGCGTCATCGGCCTCCGCAGGCAAGCCCTGGAAAGTATCTCGTAACCAGACCGTCCTCAAGGCGGAGCCCCTAACATCGTTGGGACCCAGCTACACCCCGAGAACCCGCACAACCAATCCAACGGGATCGACTAGAAATGATCCCGTCACCGCAGTCCCCTGTACTGGAAGGCGCGTAAGTATTGCCACGTCCCGCAATGTCACAGTCGCCTCCCCAACTGGTAGGTGGAAGGAGTGCGTCTCTTGCCTCCATCTCTCCACTAATGCCGTGACAAGGTGTCGGTCGATCTCCCTGAATCCCAAGCGATGTACACCGCCAAAGCCAGCGTACGTCACGTACTCAAGGCAGCGATCATGGACAACCCATGGGGTCCTGTAGTGCCTGCACTGTAGTGGCTTCGCTACGTCACCCTGAAAACACAGGAGCATTTATAAGTAACAAAAGATAGTACATCAAAGAATCCAAAAACGTTAAAGATGAATCATTACCGTCAGGTTCCATACGTCGACGCTCCGATGGGTGTCCTGTAGTGTCAGGACAGAAGGGTCAACAGGTCCGGGTGTCCTATCTTGTACGTCCATGATATCTGTTCATTGATAACGTTACACACCAAACACTAACACAATATATTGAATACTAATTTCGATTGAAAGGCATAAACAGGAAATCTCGAACATCCAACGTACAAAATAAAATTCATCGAATTGAACACAATAACACATAATGTAGAAAATTATAACTGTTTCATCAAAATAACACCACTACATACTACTATATCAAATAACACATATACACTTAGGTCCTATGTTGGTCTAGATGGACAAGTAGTGCGGTTGTGACCTTGTTGGTGACAACGGCTGCATTTGGTTGGGGGCCGGTTGCTGTCATCCATCTCATTGCGTATGCGCTTCGACTTTGGACGACCTTTTCCACGTATCATTGTGCCGTCCGGAATGATTTTAGGGCCTACGTACTGTGCCCACTGTGCCCAGGTTGTCTCGCAGGGGATCGGCCAGAAGTGTGGTGCATAGGTGTTCATGTAGGCGGCCGACTGCAACAGAGGGTCCACCCAAGGCCGTTCTGATAGTGAGTATGTAGCACAGGCTGCTAGCACATGAGAACATGGGAGGTGGAATATCTTCGGTTTGTTGCACGTACACGTTCTCAACTGCCAGTTCACCGTATGCTTGTGGCCTCCTTTATTACCAACTCTCTCTCCCCTCTCTGTTGTCACTTGGTAAATATGCAATCGCCGGTTATAGGCATCCACTCTATGATATCTGGCTTTAGCGGTGTTCTTCTCGAGGATGGCAGTGACCTTTAAGGGGTATGGAAGTCCCTGATCAGACCTAGCCTCAGAAGACTCCCTTCTCAAAGTGAAATACTTGTTAACTCTGTGGAAGGTTAACTCGACAAGGGACATAATCGGTAGAAACCGAGCTCCTTTCAGCACATTGTTGAATGTCTCCGAGAAGTTAGTAGTACATATACCATACCTGCGACCACTGTCGTGAAACAGAGACCACATAGGGAACGGGACTTGAGCAATGTACTCAATGGCCTTGGGACAGGCCTCACCAATGAAACACAAATCAGCTTGAAGTTTTCTTTCTTGCCTTTGGTACGCAGCGGCCTTGAACATGTCTCTCATATCGTTACTTCGCACGTGAGTCTTCAAGTTAGAGGCTATGTGGCGGACACAAAACCTGTGATGCGCTCGGGGCTGGGTGAATCCAACATTGGGATCATTCATTGCTGCAATGATCCCAGGATGCCGATCAGAAATAACACAAAGGCCATCCCGTTGCGTGACACGATCTCGAATACAACCTAGGAACCAAGACCAGCTGGAAGTGTTTTCCCCTTCAACCACCGCAAATGCAATAGGAAATACTTGGAAGCTTGCATCAACACTCGTAGCAACCAACAGTGTTCCTTTATACTTCCCGTACAAGTGCGTCCCATCGATACAGATAACAGGCATACAATGTTTAAAGCCATGTATACAAGGACCGAAGGCCCAAAACACTCGTTCAAACACTTCCATGTTGCTGTAGTATACACCATCCACTAAAGCTTTGTGTTTCCATACGACACATGTTCCCGGGTTCGACCGTAGGAGTGCTTGCATGAAGTGGGGAAGTTTTCCATATGAACTCTCCCAATCCCCAAATATCTCAGCTATAGCTTTCTCCTTGGCATACCACGCTCGTCGATACGGGGCATCGAAATGAAATTGCTTCGAGATCAGTTCCTGTATGAATTCCACTTTCAACGAAGGATCTTTCCGCACAAAGGACTTCACGTACTCGGCTATTACGGACGAATCCAAGTGTGGGTGATCATTAGATAGTACTTCACTGACACATGTCTCCCGATGCGGGCCTTTGTACGTGACTATGGTAAAACCACGTGAGTGCTCACTCGATTTGGTACCCCGTAGCATCCAACCACATTTGTTCTTGCATCGCAGATGTAGGACACCATCATTCGAGGTCACTGTGGTGTAGAATTGATTCCTCTGAATAGAATACATCTTCACCATTTCTTGAAGCAGTTTCTTGCTCTCAAAATACATTCCCTTCTCAAATTCTCCCCCGGGAACAAAAGAGGTGTGGCTACCCGATTCGGCCCAATACTGATCAACTTCATAGTTCTCGGGTACCTCACTGAACCAAGGTATGGGAGTTCTAACCAACGGCTGACCATCTTCCACCTGTGTAGGTTCATCATCCCCGTCTCCGTTCTCGTCCTCATCATCCATTTCCGCATACACATCATACACCGAAAATTCATTATTCACAACATCATCAAAATGATTTGGCTCTTCTCGAAACCGTGAACCATCATCACCTTGCATAGGAGAGTAGCTATGCAATTGCATCGGCGAAGATGCCACGGTGTTCGATGACGACGGAGCAGGCTGGACGAACACTATCACGCGTCCCCCCGCATGTACTGGTGAAGCTATATGAGAACTAAAAGGCAAGTGAAATTGGTCGTCCTGCATCATTCGAGTGAAAGAACCCATCCCATATGCATTCGATGGAATGTGGTTTGCGGGCTCTTGGAAGGACGCGGTGTTGTAATCAGAGACATATGTAGCTTGCTGTTCTGCCCGAGTACTTTGTTGGGTACATTTAGGCACTGTTTCTACATATATCTCATTGGGAAAACCCTTCATTCCTACCATGCTCCTCAAACCTTTCAAATGTGTCTGTTCGTAGAGACAGGTAACACTTGCACCCCATGACGAGTATCACACCTCATTTTAAGGTTCAGTTCACCAGTCATAGGGTTTGAACCAATACAACTGTGAACCTCATTCATCAGATCAGTCACAGTCATGTTCGGTTCAAGTGTTATAAGGTCCATATTCCCTCCACTGTACTCCACATTTGATCCATTACACAAAATTTCACCTCCCCATCGACATAACAACGCTACATTTTGTCCAGCCATATTCTACATAACAACCAAAACACATTTTACGTAAAGCCGTTAAATCATCCCTAAATCACCACAATCAAACAAAATTTTTTTACATACTATACAAATTAACTACTAAGAACCCCTAAATCACCATTATTACACAACAATGTAGGTAATTACAATTGTTCAAAACCTAATAATTATCAACCATTGTCATCAATTTTCAACAAAACCAACAACAACAATTCAACATTATCCAAACTATTATCAACACTAACAATATCAACACTACCATTATCAACACTAACAATTCAACAATTACCAACACTAATAATTCAACAATACCAACACTAAAAATTCAACATTTTTAACACTAACAACTCAACCTCATCAACATTTTAACCCAATTCCAAAAAAATTAGAAATCACCAACATAAACCCTAGAATTTAAAACACAAAGAAAGTTGAATGAATACCTATTTCAGGGTGAGGGGAGTGTATAGTGGGCTACACGGAGGGCGACGGTGGAGGTGGCGGCGCCGGCGGCGGTCTATACGGAGGAGCACAGTATGAGAGAAAGGGGGATTAAGTTAGAGTTTGGGAAAGAAGGGGTTTGAGAATGAAGGACGAGGAAATGAAAGGATGAAATACGCTGGTGCAGGAAAAAAAAACGACAGAAACGCTGTCCCATACAGCGTTTTTAGGTTGATTTTTTTTAAAAAAAAACCCAGGCATAAAACGCTGACCGAGACAGCGTTTTAGCCTGGAACCTTAGTTTGGTAAATACTTTTGCCACGGAACCATTTTGGTTAATATTTGCCAAAATTGGCTCACTTTGGAAAAACGTCCTGTAGGTTGGGAAGGCAAGAAGCCAAGAACGTGTCAAATTTTGGCGTCGATCGAAGAACGTCCGGGTCTGGATCGGATGGCTAGACTGAAACTGCACCAAGAAGGACTCAAGTTCTAACTCTCTGCCTTCTTTCTGTATGAGGGTGGGATGTTTGTTGCAACACTTTCTAACAAAAGTCAACCCCTTTCTACTTGCTTTTGGTCTCATTATAAGACCTGACAAACTAACTTTACATAGGCCCAAATATATAGATGAGATGTGGCCTTATGGAATTATAATTAATCTAAGTGGGCTCTTTCTTCACATTGGAGGGAAATGTCCAACAATCATCTAATACTCAACTGTACATCCATTTTTTTTTTTATGATCATGACCCATCATTCCTGTCGATAACTAAAACGAGAGAGCTCCAGTTAATCTCCGAGATTAACATTTTAAGTTAATTTCCTCTCACAACTTTATGCATTGATTTCTGTGCCACTTTATTATTAAGAAAATAAAAATAAAACAATATATTGTGAGAGAAGATATATTTCCATGTTTATCCCAGAGATAAACTTGAATTTTCCCTAACTTAAACTATCTATCTATTACATGCAAGTAATAGTGAAACTAAGAACGACACTTGACAGCGTATTATTAGAAAAAATTCCTCCAAAATTACTTTCTTATAAAAAATTATTGTTACAGAAAAAGGATGTTTGTATCTAATTTATGACTTTCATTTTACATAAAATATAAAGTAAACTTCTTAAAATAAAAATTTGCCTATTATAATAATTTAATTTAATTAAACTTCCTAAAAATTCTAATTGTCTGTTATAACAATTTAATTATTTTATAACAATTTTTTTTATTATTTAATATAATTTTTCATCGTGTTAATGTGTGTTGAGTCAATTAATTATATTTTATACTTTTCTTGTAAAATTAATTTTTTTTATAATTATTTGACAAACATGCATTGCACGGGATTTAACCTAGTGTTTGAATAGAGAGAAATAAAGAGAAAAGAATAGAAGAAAAAAAGGAGAGATACAACATCCTTTATTGGGACATCTGAAGTAAGGAGGGAAGTGGAAATATCGTTGTCCTTCCCTTTTCAATAAACCAAAACCCTCCATTGTCGGAGAGATCTAGAAAAAAAAAAAAAAAAAAGTCGCCTTCTCCCTCCCCTCACCTCCCTTTCCCTTCTCTCTTTTTATTTCCCCTCCCTTTTCCTTCACTATTGTTATCCAAAGGGTAATTGGCTAAATCAAAAGTCAAACGCGAAAACGACACTCCTTCGTCCCAAAGGAAACTAGAATATGTTGTTTTCCTCACTTTTTTGTTGTCAGTTTTCAAAATTATCATGATTTTAATAAGTTTGATCAATTATTTTTTCCTGAAAACAGAAAAATAGAAACAACTTTTTCTAGTTTGATCCATTTTTGTTTTATTAAATGACACATATCACATGATTAGTTTTTAAAATACAGCGATACCAAACGAACCTATAGGCTTGTTTGCCATCTTTTTTGTTTCACTTTGCAGTTTTTTGGAAAACAAAAACCAAAACACAAGAAAAAGGTATTTTCATTTTTCGGTACTGTTGTCAGTTTTCAAAATTATCATAGTTCTGATAAGTTTAACTAATTTTTGAGTCATTATATGATAAATATCATATGATTTTAAAAAACAGAAAACCCCAGAGATACCAAACGAACCCCTAATTTCCTGTTTTTAAGTTTTTGTTTTTCGAAAAAACAGAAAACTGAAAACAGTAAACGATAACAAACAAGCCCTTAATTTGTTAAAACATCATGAATAAAACTCAATGATTTCTCCTCAAGTATTTCGTAGGTCACAAACATGCCTTCCACTATGCCATCATATAATAACTACATGCGCACCAATATTTATTCAAAAGCTAACATTATGTCGAAAATGATAGTATATGAGAATAAGATTAGTTAAGAGGTTTCAACATCTTAGCATCAAAATTAACTAATTGTTCTATTTTTATAACTTATCACATAGTTTAAAATTCTTGATCAACAACTGAGCATCAAAATTCACTAATTGTTCTAATTTTATAACTTATCACTTAATTTCAAAATTCTTGATTACATACAAAACTTATCAGCTAAATATAGATTATAGTACTTAGATTCATAACATTCTCATACATGAGATTCAATTACCCAACATGCTAAGGCAATAAGGCATTTCACTTTATATATACAAAAAGACCACCGGGACTAGATCAGATTACGGGTATTACAGAGATCGAGTACTAGGAAGATCAATCCAATGCAACTGGAGCTCAATTTCACCACATTCGACATTTCGAAGTCTAAGGAACATGTTTTGAGTAACTTTGCCATCTTTCCAGACAATGGAGCTCTCCTCTACCAAGCAGTTTTTCCTGTCTGGTATCACTTTCTTGATAACAGTTCTATCTGGAACATCTTCGAGATTCAACTTTACTGCCTCTAAAAATGGACTGATATCGAACTCTGCGTCTCCCATTTTGTCATCCAGGGAAAATGTGTCATGATCGTAAACAAACTGTAACAACACGAAAAAGAACACGAGTTAGTCACATTAGATTAGGTGCAAAAGCTTGATGACTAATTCTTTGGTTATTTTTCAACGTATTCCATCAGTTTCAAACTATAACCGTCACCCTGTGCATTCTTCCAAGGGTGTCTTAAAGTCCCTCACCCAAACTGTAGTACAAAATCATCCTCAAAGATCTCGGGTTGTCATTTCATTTTATGTGACCACTTAAATGATCTAGCTTTTATCTTGTACACCAAGAATATTAATTTGAGCTAGATTAATTGGTAGTACGAATATGAATTTTATATCAAATTCCGTCAACATCATTATTATCTATAGTTGTTCTATTGGCCAAAAAAACTTTCTACTCTCCGTTTACATTAAATTTAGAGTATTGCTACTAACTTTTACAAGTTTCTTTCTTGGTGACATACAACAAAGGGCAAAAGCTGTCATCAAATCATCAATTTTTGAAAATAAGTTAGGTATTAAACGACAAAAGAAAAAAAGGTTGGGGTCCAAATTGTAGAAAATATATTAAGCATAAGCTAAGAAAGGTGTTTAAGTAGTTGAGACTTCACATGAGTGTTTCCTTAATTAAATAGGATTATATTATATACTATATGATCAGCACCAGCTAAAATTTAGATTAAGGTTTTGTGTAGAAAAAACCAGAACTCTAGAAAATGAATCCAGGATTTGCAAGAAAGTATAATTAAAAAGTATGAATCACACCATTAATTATGATGAGTGTTCATTTTGAAAATTTACGTGTAGAGAAATGTAACGTATGAACCTATGAAACAATTACGATTTTTAATAAAAATGAAACAATTACGATGAATTTGCTTATAGAATTAAGCTCAGAATACTTACAAGTTTAATTGGTTCATTTGGGTCCGTAACACAGAGAGTTAAATCTTCATTCCACTCCGGATTAAGAGACTTCCTAATGATACAAGTCTTGAGTTTCTGCCATAAAAATCAAATAAAACACAAGGGTTAATACTTAATATTGAACCAAGATATAAAACCAACCATCAATAAGTTCAAAACCATTACTAGTATCACTTTTGTTTATTGGTGCAATAGTTCACTTTACGAACATCTATTTACCTAATTGCCTACATAGTTAATAAGCAACTAACAGGGGTCGAAATTGTTGTTAATACTCTTACAGACTAAACGACTAAGTTAGTTAGAATCGAGATTTTGGCACTATTGTTCAGTCAAAATAAGGCGTTTACCAAATTCTCTCTTTTTTTTTTTTTTTTTTTTTTTTTTTTTTTGTGTCCTACTCTAAATGACTTCATACATTATAAAGGAGGACTAGAGGAACGTGTACGTAACGTCGATGAACAATTTTTCTGATTTCACCGTGCTGAAGTGAGGCCAGATGGATTGGATTTAACTTGAGTTATTTTAGTTCAGGTCATATTCAGGTTACGAGTCATTCAAATTAATTAGAATGAGGTAATACACATGTTAAATCATATATTTAATGTCTATTGTTGATTAATTCAAATTAAGGACTCTAAGGTTATTTTTAATACGTACTCATATTCTTGTGAAATTTCAACAGATTATGTCATTAACCACTTTGAAATTCAATGACCTCAGGGCTCAGGGTTAGGAGAGGAAAAGTCTTTTATTCTAGTAAGATCAAACTTTTCAAAGAAAAAGCTTTAGAAGGTTGAAGTAGAATTGTATATTTTCTCTGCTACAAGTACCTTTTTTTTTTTTTTTTTTTTTTTTTTTTTTTTTTTTTTTTTTTTTTTTTACAAGTCTGTTACAAGTACTTTAGATATTGCAAAGTTTGCACTTCTAATAGAGTATATTCACAAACTTATCATATGTTAGACTCGTCTTGATATTATGTTAGACTTGTCTTGATATTAATGTTTAAATTTTCATCTGAAAAATGTAATTATGGAACGCGGATATATACTCGTACAATGTTTTTGTTATTTTCTTAAAGAATAATGAAAGTATTATATCCGTTTACGTTATGTTTTACAAAAAATACTCAATAATAGCACATAATGAAAAACGAAAATAATAAATGTACGGAGTAATATTTTTTCGAATAGTAAACAAAATTTAAGAAGACTTCAATTAATAACACAAAAAATGTTAATACTGTACATCATAATGAGTCCGTTACCGTAACATACTAACATCCGCTTTCGCCAAATAAAATTAATCAATTTATGAAGATAATTAATTATTGGTCTGATTATAGATAGCCTGACAAAAGATAATTAAAGCAGAATTCAAAGTGACTTCCTTTACTTTCTTTAATACTTGTATCTTTCAGTCAACTTAGCTCTTTTTTTTTTTTTTTAATTTTATTTTATTTTTTTGATTCATGATTCCATGGAGCATAACCCATTAATTAGACAAACAAATACGAATTAACATTAAAATTGACACAAATGACTTGTTTTAATTTTTAAACAGGACAAAATTGTGAAATGCTGAATCAAATGAAGCATTTTCCAGACCAAAAGTAATTTTATACCCATAAAAAGTCGACCCCAAATACTGATATCAGAAAAAAAAATTAAAATAAATAAATAAATAAAAATATGAGCTGTCACGGTAATTGACGAGTACAAACCTGTTTACCAAGACGAACGATAACATACGGATCACTGCTGCTAATATCACGAACAGCGAGATTAATACCACGTTTAACCCGAATACGAAGCAGACCCAATGCGTTGCCAATCGGATTCACCTTTTTGTCCGCCATTCTTCTTCTTTTGAGAAAATATAAGAGAGAAAGAGAGGGAGGAGCGTAGGTGTAAAGTGGGTGAAGTTGACAAGAATGAGAGAAAGAGAGTTAAGGGGTATAATAGGAAAAATAAGGATTAATGTTTATGTTGTGAATTGTGTTGTTTTTGTAAGAGAGTTTTGAGTTGTAACTCAAATTATTTTAATTGGTTTGGAGTGGAGTGGACCAGCACCTTGTTTATATAGACGGTGATGGGTCCTAGCTAATGGGCCTCACACTTATATGCACCGCAGCTAATTACGCGCTGGATTCCTGGTTACTTGTAACTTGTTTTACTTTCAATGTACAATTTGAATATTTTGATCGAGTCGAGTTTGGATGGGTTCGGGGTAATTTTGAGTTTAGAATTTTATATTCGTTATATGTATGGAGTATATAAGAATATAAGTTATCTCCGTAATAAATCTAGCTATTGTGAATGATAGTCCGGTGATAATAGGATCAAGATTAAATTTAAAAGGTTTTTAATAGACAAGGTGTTTAATGAAAATGATCCTTATTAGGTAGGGTCAAATTGTTTGTTTTATTTAATAGATAAATAAAGTAAAAGAAAATTCTCAATGGTGACCCTGTAAAAATGAGACACTGAATTGGTGGTCTTCTTTTTTTTTTTTATTATTATTATACAAGCTAATCCCAATTAAGAAATTTATCTCACTTATGACGTTAATGAGTGTTATTTAGTTAAAAAATTAACTATGGTTAGCTTTGAAAAAAGATAACTTAACTAAAAAGAAAAACCACCAACCTAGCCACCACCTCCACCCTCATCCCCCACCAAGCCTAGCCACACCACCTTCACCCCCACTTAAGTCACTGAACTCCCCTCACCTGAACCCCTGAACCTCCTGTTGGAGATATTGTTGAATAGTCTCATTGGTTGCTTCAAAATAAAAGAACAAAGTCCCACATTGGTGAGTTAAAGAGATTTTACCTTCTTTATATATTTCTATCACTCATGTTTATACTTGAGTAGTTTGTGTGGGCTAGATATGGGTATCCCCTCGCGCGCCGCCGCCACCGCCTGGCCCGGTTCGTGTTTGTGACACGTGCGCGGGTGTGGGTTGGATTTTACACATGATTCTAATTTTTTATGCAAACTTTCGGATAACGGTCACAATATCATCATCGATATTGTAACTGTTATTACGTGGATTCAGTCAAAGATTGTCTCCTTGATTTACTCCGTAATTATACCAATCAATTAATTTGGCTGATTATCTTCCCCAAAATTATCTCTTCGTTTTACCGTTTTCTTTGACTGATTACCGAGATTTTTTCCATTGATTATGCTGCTCTTCTCGGTTTAAATATTTGGCTCTTTCGGTTTTCATACACACAGAAAAAATCCCTCTTCTTCACGGATTTTCCCATTTTCTCACAAAAATATTCAAAACACTATTCGGGCATTGTATTATTGAGTTCTCAATTCATCCTTGCGAAGTACACAGTTCGGATGAAGTCGTGTAACCCTGGGGGTCGATTGCTGTGAGTCCGTGTGTACGTGTGTGGGGAAAATTCGACTTTAGGGCAGTGATTTTTGTCACGCCACGACATTATTCTTCGGTTTTGAGATAAGTTTTACTTAGTTATTTGCCTTATTTTCTAACATTCTAAAGTCGATTTTTTCATATTCATATTATGGCTGATTTCGAAATTCCTACTGTTGTGCCGTTGAATTCTTCCATGGTTAATGCTTTTATTCCTGACATGTCTAAAACGGATCCTTTTGACGGAAAAAATTATAAAATGTGGTCCGATAAAATGGAATTTTTCGGTCAAATTGGTGTAGATTATGCTCTTGATATTGACTCTGCCCCTCCGAATTCTGTTAGAGATTTTGCTAAGGATAACAAAACCTGTCGTGGAATGCTTTTACATTACATGACTCAACCTTTGTTTTTAATCTATAGCAAATATAAGAAATGCTAAGGAAATTTGGGATGCCCTAAAATCTAAGTATGTAACCGATGATTTTGGGACTAAAAAATATGCTTGTAGCCGTTGGTTAAATTTCCGTATGACTGATGATAAATCTATGCTTAATCAAGTTCATGAGTATGAAACTCTATGTGCTGACATTATTGTCGAAGGTATGAAAATTTGTGAGACATTTCAGTCAAATTGTCTTCTTGAAAAACTGCCACCATCTTGGGAATCCTACGTTCATTCCATGAAGCATTAGCAGAAAGATTTCACTCTCCAGGAATTAATTTCTCACATCAAAATCGAGGAACAGAACCGAATTCAGGTGAAATCTAAATCTCGTGATCATTCTTCCTCTTCTGCTAACTTGGTTGAATCTAAGTCTGCAGGAAAAAATAAAGTATTCAAAGGGAAAGGACCTAATCAGTGTAACACCCCAATAATTCTCTCTTTACAAAAACCTGTAAAATCCTGTATTAACCTGCATAACCTGTAATAACCTGTAACCTGTAAAAACATGTGAGAGAATTATTGGAGTGCTACCGCTACGTGTTCAAACGTTAAGGCTAGTTTCAGAAATCAGCAGCGGAAAACTGACTTAGTTTTTTTTTTAAAAGAAAAGGATATAAGTTTTGAAACTAAAAACCAAAATCAGGCTTTAGACTTACAAGTTGGAACCATAAAGGCCCTTATTCAAAATCCATATAAAATAGGGAGTAAGTAAAATTATAGTCAAAATAAACTCAGTCTATGAAGTGAAATAAGCTAAGTAATTAACCAACGCTCCACTCAAATCCCATCACCCTGATGCAAGACAGTTTATGCAAAAACCTGTGATGAATCTGCTCCCCAATATTACAAGTGTAATAATTGGATCATTACAGGGTCATTGAAGGCGAAGGCCATGACCAAAGAAAATACACAAAAGCACGCAATCAGCAACGCTGAGTACATATAAGTTACGAAATATAGTAAAGAGTTCTAGCATGATACTAACAAGCATTCCATACACTGACAATATTATGATTGACTCGAACACATGACTCCATAGTTACTCATTACTAAGTTTTTATTTAAATAGCATTGATCACTTCATTAATTGATTGGATTAAGCAATAGATCGGGTTGTCCCCTGTGCTCCATTCCGGAACATTTAATAAGAAAACCCTATGCCTCCTTTCGGAAGACATTAATAAACATCCAATGGCAGACGGGCGCGACTCCGTGGCCATAGCTAGTATGAGATCTCATCTAACTCATTATAATTTTAAAAGAATTTAAAACAAGAGACTCGTAGATCAGACGGCCTCTGAAAAGTGCACGGCTAATACCCCGTCAACCCCAACCCTTGTTTGTCATTACTCTAGATGTGCACAAATCCAGAGTTTTATTGCTCATCCTTCTTGCACTTTACGTGATTTACCAGTTTGAATTTGGTGATGACTCATATGCAAACAACACAACCAATCATACATCAATCATTCAAATCACTTAAGTTTCCAATTCAATTTTTAATTTATCAGTGACAAACAACATTTATTATTGAATCCTTTAACTACCTCGGTGTATAAACACCTTAAATGCATAAGGCAACTCATATCCACAATCGTGTCTTATAAGACTTTAACTCTACCTTTACTCATTCCATTTCAATATAAATGAACAAGTAACCAAAATTATTCATTCCATATGTATACTTGTAGCTTTGCCTCTAAGCTCACTTTGCAAATTATTGCATAAATAATGCTCATAAGGAAAAATCAATGCAATTTCTCATACATGAATTAAGCCAATCATCACATTTATCATCAATCAACTCATTACCAAACAATGTCAACCAATCCACAAGTTCCCTAGCATGATTCTAGGTTTTTCCAAGTCCCCAAGCATGCTCCTAATTCAAGGTTTTTCGTATTCTTGTACGTACCTTGAATACACAAATTGGTTGGCCACCTTAAGGCTAGAAGTCACCTTCTACGAAGTCCTCTCCTAAACAAAACAACAGTAGTTCAATCAATCACCCAAGCAATATATTTTACAGCAATTACCAAACTATTTTAAAATCCTTTAAATCATTGAAATAATACCCTTAAGTTATTCCCAATAGCCAAAGTTAATAATTTAGTACTTGAACTATGAGTTTATATGCTAAAAATCATAAAAGTATAGCGTATAGCATAAAATTTCAGCACTTTAAAGTAAAATTATAAATCTGAAAATTTAGTTTAAAATTATAAAACAACCGCATAAACGTTTTCATTTGAAATAATCGTTATATAGCACGTTAGTATGTTGAGAACTCGAAAATCTATCATAAAACCATGATTTAAAGCTATTTAAACTAAGATTAAAATTTGAAAATTTAATTTAATAGTAAAGTGTATGAATACAACAATCTAAACTTGAAATATATAATTATAATTAAATTAGTTTCATAAAAACTCAATTAAACATTCGATAAAAATAAAAAACTGCACGAAAACCATACTTAGAAGCTGAATTTGGCCACGAGAGGGTGGTGCTCACTGCTATAGATAATGAGTTTTGATTAGAGCATTGTTTACACACGAAAAACACTATTTTTTTGCAAAAATCAGACGAGTTACAGTCAAAACGCGATTAAAACGTGATTAAGAAAATTTTCGAACGGAAATTTAGAAATTAATTACGAAAAAATTTAGAACTTGCTGTTGAACTAAACATCATCATAGTCATAGCAAAGTCACAACAAAATCATGCTTAAATTGAATAACTTTAGCAACACGTTATTAAACCCTAAAATTATGAAAATCAACATTTAAACCCTCAATTCTCACATAAACCTAATCTGAAATTTATTCCATAATTCGAGTAAAGTATAATTCATAAATTTACAATCTTTCATAAGTCACAAACATAATCAAACTACAATAATTATTAAACATTGAAAAATTCATGTAAAAATCGAAACTTTAAAGGAGATTAAACAAGAAAGAGAGAAGCTAAAAGAGAAGGGGAAGGAACCCGGTAGGGCGGCGGCCGTAGCAGCAGCGAAAGTTGCCGGTGGTGGAGGCAGCAGCGACGGTTTCAGGCGGCAGTAGCAGCGAGGGTTCTTGTGTGTGTGTGTGTGTGATTTTTTTTTTTTTTTTTTTTTTGTGCGTGTGTGTTTCGTGAATGAGGCAGGGAAGCAAGGGAAAGGGAGTAGGGGAAGCAGTAGGTTTTAGGAGGGTTTTAAGAATGGAAATAAGGAGTAC